ATCTATGCACTCGAAAAATACTAAAAATGACACGCTTCAATTCGTGCCGATACCTCAATTGTATCCTAACGTCTAACAGCCTACAACTTTATCGGTTAGGGAATGATGTATCAATTATGAATGAGAGTATAAGGGTAGGTCGGAAATTTAAAAAAAGAAATGTATTTAATACGTGTAAACAAACACCAGCTATTAAATTCATGGCTGCCATGTTTGTTACCTATGCTCTAACGGATAGCAATGTGACTACATTTTCCACCTAACGTCCAATAACCAATGTTAATTAACCCTGGCCTGTTAGATCGAGCAATGTTAACCAGCCGATTCTTACAAATCAACGTCATCATTTTTCTCGATCTAACACGACCTAATAGATTTAACAGGGTTAACACAAAGATCGTGAATACCCCTAATGTGTGGGTGACCAAAGTAAATTTCACAGCGATTATAAACCAATCCTGATGAGGACGGATATACCTATTCTGCGTAAAAATACTAGCATTCTTACATTTCTAACGCTATAAAACTTCTATTATGACGCTATTAATTTTGCTTGACTTGGCTTAACTCCGAAGAGCACTTGGGTGTGCCCGAAGCCTTTAAAACGTATCTATTAAATAAAATGCAACTTTTTCTTCTTGAGTTATAAAAAATTGGATGTATCAAAACAAGACCAAAGGGATTCGAATCCTTAAAATGGCAAAAAGAAGAAAATTCGAACGGATGTAGGCTGACATGGCGAGTTGGTGTCCAAGAGGATCGAAGTCAAGATAGCTCAAATGGTAAGAGCAACGGCGTATTCAGCCAAAGGTCGTGGTTTCGAATCCCGCTCGTGACACTAGCTTTTTCATTTCAACCAAAACCTTACATAAAACGATTAATTAATTGAAAGAAGTAATTTGGTCCATCAGACCACTAAATAAATTGGAAATTCTTTAATATTTTCGTTAGAATCTATTTGTGTTAAGAACTTGTTAAGCCGAAGGTTGTGGGATCGAATCCCGCTCGTGACACTAGCTTTTTCATTTCAAACAAAACCTTACATAAAACGATTAATTAATTGAAAAAAGTAATTTGGTCCATCAGACCACTAAATATATTGGAAATTCTTTAATATTTTCGTTAGAATCTATTTGTGTTAAGAACTTGTTAAGCCGAAGGTCGTGGGTTCGAATCCCGATCGTGACACTAGCTTTTTCATTTCAACCAAAACCTTACATAAAAAGGTTATTTAAATAAAATACATATTCATTAATGATTGTGCAGCAATATTTAAACTTCCAAGAAATTCGAAAAAATGTCTATGGATTTTTGATCATCTTAAATATATTTTTATTTTTAAGTAATTCATTGTTTATTTTTATGTAAAGTGAGATTGACGTAAAAAATTAGTGTCATGGGACTCGAACTCACGATATCCTGATTAGCTGTTGGTAAAATTATACTTTGTTTTATTTATTAAATCCATTATATTTAGTGGCCTGATTGACCAAATTACTTCTTTCGATTAATTAATCTTTTTATGATAGGTGTTGGTTGAAACGAAAAAGTTAAGTGTCCGAGTGGATCGAAGTCACGATAGCTCAAGTTAGAGCAGCGGCGTGTTGAGCCGAAGGTCGTGGGTTCGAATCCCGCACGTGAACCGAAAATCTTACACAAAAAAGAATAGTTAAATAAATAGTCGATATATTAAATAAATAATGATGACTGCCAGCTTTCGAGGTGAATAGACCTGTATTTTGTGCACAGTGTTATTCTCAACCTTTCTCTGAATTTGATCATTTTGAACTAACTCTATGGAAATGGTTGATGTAACCAGGTCTGCTCTACTTCTCTTGCCCTAGTCTCAGATTTTAAATAAACTGAACTAATTATAATCTTCAAAGCTTAGAATTTGAATATATTTCTTTACAGAAAAGTATAGGGCAACACACCCCGAACCGCAGTCTAATCGTAAAGAGTACAGGATAGCAACAGGATAAAACCGGGGGACAAAACATTGCGATGGGCTCCCAGGACAATGGGCCCCCATTGTGATCCTTCCGAAAAAGGCATTGTGTCTTTTTGAGAAAGCCACCTTTATTAGGGGCCGTTGTAACTATGTAACTTTTCAACCAAGCGTGTTTTTTTGTGTCTTCTTTTCCTGTAAATAAATTAAAACTTTCCTTATTTAAAATGACTTGGTGAGTTCGTTTATCTTCTGACTTGGTCACTTTAAAAAAAGTTTTTCCTTTTAACCTCGAGCTTCCTGACACGCGTCCGGTTAACCAACTTTGTGTTTAATAATTTTGATTGGCCCAGTTTCCTGTTTACTGAAACAATTTTTCTAATTAACCTTTCGAGTAAAATCGGCATTATTTTAATTTATAAAGAATTAATTAATTTCGAGAGAAAACCCGTTCAAATTTTATGTTGCCACTTTACTCGAAGAATCTTAAGACCATATATTACAATAATAAATCTAGGTAAAGTCTGCCAAAACTGTAAAATTGGAATAAGTCTCCATTTTTATTGTTATGAGTCAATAAAAAATTGGGAAGATGTGAAAAAATTTATTGATGCAGTTTTCACCACACCTAAGACTTTATACGTGTGTTTTCTCATTAAAACGCCAAAGTTGTATATGTTTATCACACCCTTAATAAAGAATTTTTGTAACAAAAAAAAATTAAAATAATTTTCAAATTTATATTTATTTTTTCTTGGAAAATAACGATGGCATCGTTTCAACATGTAGGAGTAATTCGTCGAAATTGTGCACAAATTGCATATTTTGGTCCGCCTTCATTCAGGCTGTAGATTAAAGTTTAAAATTTAGAAGAAATACATCCATGCCTTAAAGCCGGTTATTTCTATGGTCATGGTAAGTTATGGTCCTCGGGGGCTCTCCCCTTCCTTATCACGCTCTTTCTCTCGGCCTTTTTTTGTTGGCTCTGTGTGCTTGTTCAGATCTCGCCGACTGGAAGACGTTTCGAAACGCCTACGATGGAATAAAAATATTCAGGGACAGACGGATGACGTCGACCCCACAGGTTTACTGATGAAGACCGTCTCGCCAGCCCCTGTCGCTATTGGCTTACTACTTTTTCCGGTAAGAACGTCTCATAAAATTTGGCGATTCGGTTGAACAAATTTGATGAGGACAAAAAATTTCTCAAGACAAACAGTACAGTAGTTCCATCGCGAATCTAAGGGGACTGAAGAAATTTTGAACTTAGCATTGGCAATGTCATTAAATTAATATTTTTAAAAAAGTTCCCTTTAAACCGTTACGACCGGTAGAAGGTGGAATTACAATAGCTTTAAAAAAAGAGACACCTTCAATATAATTAAAATCAGCCTTCAAAATATTTATTTATTTGCAACGAAAAAATTCCAATTTTTCCAAATAGGGGTATTCACGATCTTTGTGTTAACCCTGTTAACTCTGTTAGGTCGTGATAGATCGAGAAAAATGATGACGTAGACTTGTAAGAATCGGCTAGTTAACATTGCTCGATCTAACAGGCCAGGGCCAATGTTGGAGTTAGGTCGAAAATGTAGTCACTTTGCTAGCCTTTAGGGCGTAGGCAACCAACATGGCGGCCATGAATTTAACAGCTGTTTTTGTTTACACTAATTTTTATTCTTAAATACGCATTAATTAAATTAGACCAATACATTTCTTTTGTTATTTTCTGACCTGTCCTTATCCATTTTTTTTAATAACTTTCGGTATGTTATAATTTAGCACAAAACCAAACGAAAACAAACAACAACAAGCCTTCAAGCACTGTTATAGCTTTATTTTTGGTTGTACCAGTCGCCACGCGCATTATTGCGGAAAAATTAACATTTAACATGCTAAGAAAAGAAGGGGGTTCACAATCGAACTGGACATTTCTCTATTCCAGTTAACAGCTAACAAACATCGTGAATACCCAGTTTTCGAATTAATCGATTAATTAATTAATTAATTTCAGGCAAAATCGCGTTTTTTTACGTGCTCACGGAAAAAACAACCCGATCACTGTCTCTCCAACAACCAATGCGTTTTTTCAAACTTTTTGCCATAATATTTATCATTTTTTGATCAATTTACAATCCGTTTTCCATTGTTTTCAGTGTAAAAAAATCCGTTAAACTGATGTGCCAGCGTGTATAGGCTCCTATGAAATTTTCAAGTTGATCTGGGCCTGAGGTAAGGTACTTTGTATAATTTTTTCTCCGAAAAAAGGTAAAAATTTGAAACTAGACCAAAAAATATTAAACACGTATTTTTTTTTGTTATTTTGATAGGGTCATTGGTTCAAGAGAAATTCAGCCGGGCAATTTAGTAAAGACACCATGTATAATTTCTAAAAGTCCTGTCACACGGACGCCAGATTTAAGGCTTATCAAAAATACAGCAGCCATGAATTTGAACCAGACAAACTTGCAATTTTTTTTTTTTTTTTAACCGGCTTCCCGAGGTTGCATATAACCAAGTTTAAATGTAAACCGTTCTACCAGTCATTATTTCAATTAAAAGGTTCTTATTATATTCTTACATTTAAAAATTCAATGTTTCCCAAAATTTTTAAAAGTTGTAATGGTCCTATCCCAAAATTTTCAATCGTAGAAAGATTTCTTCGGGCCACTTCGATTTGTCTATGGTTACGGTGGTTTATTTAACACTTCGTTGCAGAACGTGCTTCATTTACATCCACCACTAGACGTAGAAAAGCGTTAGTAATGGAAAATACGTTGAAAATGTACCTGGGGAAACGGGCGCCCGGAGTTCGATTTCGTAAAAAAAAATTCCCTTTTGAACAAATTGTTGCAAAAGAGAACAAACGCGGAAGCCAGTTTTTTCGTATTGCATTCTAAATGTTTTTTATCCCGCGGAAAACAATGATATCGATCGAAAATTGCCTTTACCTTTTCCCGATTCTCTTTGATTCTGCCTTTGACCCAAAATAATATCATATCGACCTGAATTATTGACAGGGTAGACAAACAGTAAACTGAAACGTCTTTACCTTGTACTGTGCCGATCGTTGCCACCACCAACACAATCCAGGGCCTGATACGTCTCCAAAACATCCTTTTAAATTCGTATCCACATTGTACCTGAAACAATTGAAAAATTATGTTCAATAATTGGTGTGTAATATAAATTATGTTAATGCTCAAATCGTCATCTTCGCGAAGACACGACGGGTTAACTAAAAAACGTTTAGATGAATACACTGACTCAAGGTTGGAAACTTTTAATGATCTTTCGAAGTGGTAATTGTACAGTAACTTGGCTTTTAATAATGCCATCAATATGTATAAATAATTTGAGGAAAAATATAATAGGGGTATCCAAGATGTTTGTTAGATGTTAACTCGAATAGAGAAATATCCAGTATGATAATGAACGCCAATTTCCTTGCTTAGCATGTTAATCCGTTAATTTTTCCGCAATGCTGAGCGTGGCGATTGGTAGAACGAAAAATTAAGCTATAACAGCCCTTGAAGGCTTGATGTTGTTTGTGTTAAATTGTAAGATGCCAGAAGTTAATAAAAAAAAGGGAAAATTAATCAATTCATTCAAATTGCTATCTATGCACTCGAAAAGTACTAACAAATGACCCAGTTCAATTCGTGCCGACCTAACTTGCATCCTAACGTCTAACAACCTACAACTTTGAAGGTGGGGGATGTATTTATTATAAATGAGAGTATAATGACAGGTCAGAATTTAAAAAAAGAAATGTATTGGTCTGATTTAATTAAACAGTATTTAAGAATAAAAAAACATGTAAACAAAAAAACAGCTGTTAAATTCATGGCCGCCATGTTGGTTACCTACGCCCTAACGGATAGCAAAGTGACTACATTTTCGACCTAACATCTAACATTGGCCCTGGCCTGTGAGATCGAGCAATGTTAACTAGCCGATTCTTACAAGTCTACGTCATCATTTTTTCTCTATCTAACACGACCTAACAGGTTTAACACAAAGATCCTGAATACCTGGACGTCATCTGTCTGTCTCTGAATATTTTTTTCCATTATTCCAGTCGGCAAAAGAAATGTGTTGGTCTGACTTAAATTATGCGTATTTAAGAATAAAAAAGAATAAAAATACGTGTAAACAAAAAACGGCTGTTAAATTCATGGCCGCCATGTTGGTTACCTACGCCCTAACGGCTAGCAAAGTGACTACATTTTCGACCTAACATCTAACATTGCCCCTGACCTGTTAGATCGAGCAATGTTAATTAGCCGATTCTTACATTCTCCATCATTTTTTCACTATCTAACACGATCTAACAGGGTTAACACAAATATCGTGAATACCCCTTTTGTTTGGGGGGAGGGGTTACGAGTCTAGTCAGGCATTTAACCCCTCGGGTCTTGGTCGCCCACCCTGCGTAATATATAACAGGGTAGGGCCAATGAGATGTTTGTGTTATTTTTATACGATATACTGCTACCTAGATGTCCTTACCACTCGATTACCAATGGTCCCCTATGTCCCATTAGTTTAAACAAAATAGCCCTTTTTTGTATTAAATTAATAAAATTTAACACTAGAAAATAAGTAAAAAAGGAAAAACATTATTGTTCCTTATATAATTTACATTTATATTTTATCTGCATACAATGATTTGTGTAACCATAGAGATTACATAATTATATACATAGTTTAAAACCATAGTATTGGTACACTTAAGTAAAACATTACACTGTATATTTGTTCATGAACTAAGCACAAACTAGAAAACTTATAAATATATAATTAATCTCGACCATTCTCTCTGTACATACACAGACCCAAAGGGTTTCCTTTGATTTCCGTGAAGCTTCCGGTTGTTTGTCTAATTAGGAAAACAATTTGTTGAATGGTCCGTCAAATGATTTGTATTTGTAATATGTGCCATCATGAAGGGCCGGCATAATTGATATTAAAAGTTAAACACGAATTCTAAGAGTCCTAAGTCAAATAGTCGGAAGGAACTTGGTTAAATATTTACTCAGTCCGTATACTTGAAGGTGTGGAAAAAACCCTGTGTACGACCAGTAGGCGTTTTTACTTTTTTTCGTGATTTTCTCACCTCAGCTTTACCTGACGGACCGGAACACCCAAGATGTGCCTCGAATATGTAATGAGGCGAGGATTGAGTGCCAATAAAATTTCATTTGGATAATTTGCTATTACGGTCGATCGTTTACAGTTTAACAGTTAAGTCGCGGTAGCAAATCAAAGTGAAGTCATTTTCTGTCATGGACATCGTAGGAGGAGCATACTGGGCGTATCTGAAATACTTGAGTTGCACAGAACAGTTACTGCTTCCCAGTACAACCGGAAAAAGAACATATGTATAACATGTATCCGGATGTATAACAATGATCTTATACTTCGGCGTTGTCCGTCCCGCCTCTTAAGCTACCCTCCCCAGCAGCTATCAACAGCTAGGTCATTTTAGCCCCAACGCATCAGGTTTCAAGTCTAACCCCCCCCTCACTCACTCTTAAATACTTTCTTTCCTATTTACATATTATTCACTGAATTAGGATGTCGGAATACTCGAAATTTTAACAACACCCTCTCTATTCAATATTCCGCAATCGACACATTCACTCTAATAAATTCATTCAATAAAGAAATTACTATATTAATTAAAACAGCTGTTTACCTTTAAAAATCTAATCGGAACAGAGGACGTAAATATTCGTTGCCTTTTCTCGATCTAACACGACCTAACAGAGTTAACAGGATTAACACAAAGATCGTGAATACTCCTACAATATTTAACCCAATTCCATTATGGAAAAAAGTTTGAAAAAATTTCGTTTGTTTCGTTGTAGTTGAGAGAATGATCGTGAAGAAACCGCGATTATGCCCGAAAATCTCGAATAGTTTGAAAACTATTGAGAAATCGGGCAAAGTAGACGGTGACCAACTGAAAGTTTATAGAAAATATCCTAGCCTTTGCTATATACGAAAATATCCTATGCCGCTCCAGGACGATTTCTTCGTTCCACAACTCAATTGAGTTTTCGCAAAAAATGCCAAAATTAACATGTTCCCGAATTTTTGAATTTACTGATGAACGACTGAAGCTAGGAAAACATTAAAAAAATCTTCTTGAGGGTAAAATTTTCTAAAACTTGAAACCTAGCGCTGGTCGGTAGCTTAAGCGGGGGACACACCCCGGATGCTACGCTATGCGACGCTACCCGATGCCAACCGTCGCCTTGTAATGTAAAGCAAATTAAACGAGATCAAAAATTTATTTTTTATTAAAAGTTTTTATAAAAATTATTTAATTTTGATAGTTAAGAAGAAAATTTACCAAAACACCGGGAAAACTTTATTTAAAACCATTAAATTTAACTAACAATTTATTACATGGTTTTGCTCATAAAATTTAACTAACAATTTATTACATGGTTTTGCTCATAAAATTTAACTAACAATTTATTACATGGTTTTGCTCAAAATAATGCATTAAGAACAAAAGATTGTGATACTGATTTGTGATACATGCTCTGTGGCGTACGTGGCGTGCGCTTGACGTCTCATAGATGTGCACACCCTACCAAAATCTGACAAGGCGTCGGGAAGTATCGGGTAAAGCCGGGAAAACACTTACCCGACGCAACGCTATGCGACGCTATTCCATGCTACCCGACGCAAATCCCAAGTCCAATTTTCCATAAAGTTGTATTACCCCCGTGCACATCTACCCGATCTATGCTACGCTACCCTACTCTACGCTCTGCGATCCCCACTGTCCAGATTTTCGTCGGGCAGCATCGAGAACAGTCGAAGACAAAATAACCGGACACTAATATTTTTATTCTAACTACAAGTATTGTTGTTATATTAATTACAACAAACTTATTTTAATATAAACCAAATTAACCGAGATCAAAAATTCATGAGTTTTTATTTTTAAAAATTAATTTTAATGGTTTGGTAGAAAATTGATCAAAACACCGGAATACCATTTTTTCATGTAATAAATTTAACTAACGATTTATTTCATGGTTTTGCTCATGAAATTACACGATTTTCGTCGAGTAGCTTCAGAACAGGACTGTCATATTTTTTGTAGTTTATTTCAGATTAAGTATATGTAATTTTGTCGTTATATTAATTACAACATTCCTATTTTAATGAAACCAAATTAAACGAGATAAAAAATTCATGTTTTTATAAAAATTATTTAATTATGATAGGAAGAAAATTTACCAAAATACCGGAATAACTTTATTTAAAACAATTAAATTTAACTAACAATTTATTACATGGTTTTGCTCAAAATAATGTTTACGCCAATGTAAACATTTTTATGTATTAATAGTTAATTAGAAATCTTATCCTTTATTATTTTAAATTTATCTTTTTAAAAAATTATAAAAACGGAAAATTTGTAAGGATCACGACGCTGGAGGGAGAAACAGGTCAATTTTCAGCAAGCCTTCGTAAAAGGAGCAAGTCGCTCCCTGGTTCTCGACCTGTACGCACGAACGTACATCAGCTGTCTTCAGCGAGTCACTGCCTGGTTTTCGAACTGTACGTACGAACGTACAACAGCTGTCTCCAGTGAGTCGCTCCCTTGGTTTCAACCTGTACGCACGAACGTACATCAGCTGTCTTCAGCGAGTCACTGCCTGGTTTTCGAACTGTACGTACGAACGTACAACAGCTGTCTCCAGTGAGTCGCTCCCTGGGTTTCAACCTGTACGCACGAACGTACATCAGCTATCTTCAGCGAGTCACTGCCTGGTTTTCGAACTGTTCGCACGAAGTACAACTGTCTTCAGCGTTCAGTCAGTCTCACCCGAGGATTAAACCCGTACGCACGCACGTACATCAGCGGTCTCTGGCTTCCGACGGGTACGAACGAACGCACCTTCGACGTCGTCCGGCGAGTGGCTCCCAGACTCCAAGCTCAAGCTCCAAGATAAGCGCCAATCGTTTGATCTTCACTGTCGTGAGTCGACAAGACGTACGAACGTCCTTATTCTTTTAATTCAGCATTGCCATTTTTTGTATTAACTTTCTCATAACCAACTCTCTATATATCTCTATTTCTATATATTCGTTAACTTTGTTTTGTTTCTGGCCA